TCTATCACTCATGATACTAATGTATCATGGGGAAAGATTTATAAAGAGATGCTCTGCAGCACCTCAAAGCTGTAACCAAATCACCTCTGCATCACTGGGAAAGCACAACAGAAATCTATCCATGTGACTTCACATCATCACCACAGGGAACAACATCTGCACCAGCCAGGGCAGACAGAGACTTGTAAACCTGTTCTACTCACAATATGCTGCTTTCACTGACAGCAGTAATAAACAGTGTCCTGCCCATCAGTCCTCAAGGCCTCCAACACACAGACAGAGACCAGTTATTTTGTGCTCACAGCTTTTATGGAGAAATTATCTGCTGCAATTTCAGATGCAGTACGCTGTACTTCCTACTGTGAACAATTTTGGGTTTCTTTTTTATGTGACAGCTTTACAGAAGATGAAAACTGATCATCCCAGCAGTAGCACCATGAGAGGAGGTCCCAACCAGCTGCAGAACCACAGCTCCTCCACACCAATATCAAGCAAGGACAAAGCTGCTTAGGAGCCTTATGAGGATGGGAGCCCCATTTCCTGGGACAGCAGCTGGGACCCGTTTGCTTCCCAGACACCTCTGAACAACACATTCCTTTCTCTCCTCCAAGGATCCAAGTCACACAGCGCACACACAGGTATCACCATCTGGCAGAGAGTTTGTGCCTGCACTGGTGACAGTCTGTCCCTTTTACTAGTTGTGTGAAAGTGCACATTTGGCCACATAACAAATACCCCAGGTCTGCCAGGTGAGCAGTGTGCAGCCACTCCCAAGAACAAGTCATCTGCTCTGATCAAAGGCCTGTGATGGGAGATGACAGCAGCCTGACGCCTGACCCAACCCACACCCTCACTGTTCACACAGGACTACAGATCTGTCCATCTGTTTTTAGGTGCAATATGCATTTTAGCCATGAGAGAGAAATATTCCTGGTCATGCAATGGCAAAGGCACTGCAAGGTCACTCAGAAAGAGTGACAGGGCCAGATCAACTTGTCGGACATGCCAAACGTTGTCTGCAGGTCACAGGATGAATGCTCAACTGAGAATACTATACAATGATTTTCCTCAGGCAACTTACCTGAATGAAAATCCATGTTCTCATGGATATATTAAGTTAAACTGTGAAGTTACTTAGATGTAAGTTAAATGATACATCTATAACACAGCTGCTTGTTCATAAAGGCTCTTAGACGGTCTTGTACAACATAATTCAACAGCAAAATCAATCTGGACAAGGCACAGGACCTGTCAGTCTCAGTTTTCAGAGCTTATATTCACATCCTGAAAGTTATCTTGAGTACTTACACTGTTCTGTGGACACATCCTAAAACAATTCCTACTTCCTAATTTTCTAAAACTGAAGTCCTAGAGCAAACAATTAATCACTGTGAATTTGCTATTCTAAATGAATTTCAAAATCTGAGTACAACTAAATCAAACTATTGTATGTATATATAGCTTATGCTCTAAAAAGAACAAGAAAAACTCACTTAAGTACACAGATTTATTATAATTTTTTTTTATTTTAATAAAAAAGAAAGTTAATACGGTAAATTAATTATTCTTCCAATTAACTTCTTCAGGAGTAATATATTTCCTTTCAGAATAAGTAATGTACACAGAGAAAGGAGTCAGACTATTTCACCCTGCAAGATTATAACTAGAACACAAGAACCACTTAAGGAAGGAGAGAATCAAGCCTGATACCACTGGAATGTTCTTCTGGCTGGGCATTTGATGTGAGCAATTGTTCACCAGTAAAAAGCACAAAATCACTTAGAGATCCATTCTCTGCAATTTATTTCAGGAAATAGAACTCTGGTAGTTACACCTGCTGAGCTATAAGATGTTCTGCCAATAAACAGAATTGACATTTGAGGATGCTACATTTCAGCCAAAAAAATACGCTTTGCAACCCAGAAGTCCTCTACCAAATGGAATCCATCATATCTCCCTACCATGAAAAATTTAGATTATGTTGATTTTTTATATTTTTTGACCTCCATAAATATTGAAAATTTTGCGCTGTTGTTTTTGGCAAACTCACCAAAAGTTAACAGAATAAAATAAGGATAAAAAATAAGTAACAGCTATAAAGTGCAAGTATGGAAAAGATGTTCCTTCTTGCTTAAAGAAAACCATGTTACCACTGTTGTACAAAAAAAGACTACAGCATTTCCTCAATTTCTAGAGTAACAAAAGTTAAAATCTTCATTTGATTAAGATCATAAATTGCTGCTCACTACTTATCAAAACAGTTCAAGTTACTTACAGGTGTATTAGATCACCTATTCAGGATCAGATTAAGCTGATTCCTACTCTTCCTCCATCAACCGAATAATCATTGTCTTGCTACAGACAAAAATAAAAATCTCTGGACCTGACTGAAGAACAAGGAGGTTTAACACAAGTGCTTATTTCATAACTTCCAGAAGAAAAAATGTATGAAATTTCAAGCACCCCGGTAGACTGATTATGAGCCAAAGCAAGAGGAATTATCTTTACATGCTTTAAATTAACTTTCTCAGAAGTGCCTTTACAAGAACAGTGCCATTAAAATTCAAATTAACTCTAACTTCTGTGTGAACAGAAAATCTAAACTTAATATTAGTAATTTACAACAGATATCTTGTAAATCTTTCACAGCACTCAACTTCAGGGTAGCATTAAAAGCATATTTCTAAGCAGTTTGAAGCCTAATCCACAAGGAGATTGCTTATCTACAAAGCCACCTGCATGCTGTAATTTAAAGTATTATGCTGAGAAAAGAGTGTGTAAACTATTTTAAGTGGCTTTTTTTTCCTACTGTTTGCAAAAAACATTTTTGAAGTATCCATAACACAATTTCCCTACTCTACCCTCAACTAGTGAATCACCTCCGCTAATCTTAGGAAGAAAAAAAAGAAAAAAAAAAATCCTTCCCCAGGTATTTGCCTGTTTAACAGTAGTTTAGCTCCTGCCTTCCATGTTGCTCTTTTCATTTTTATCACTATTTCTCATCCCAGTTACCCATTTTCTCCCTCTGTTCATGCTTAGGGAGAGCCTCCTTCCCCAGCTGCCAGTTTCCAAATGATTAATATAGCCAGAGAACAGTAGTAGGAGTACTGGCTACTTCTGCAAGAAACTGCCCAAGCAGCAGTTAAACTCTGTAGCATCAATCACACAGCTGGGTCAGGTCTAACAAACACAACTGATAAACTGGGTGATCCAGGTGACAGGAGATTCCCTGGGAGAACACCACACATTCAAAGGCATTTAATTTCAAGTGTCTTAACAAAGCAGCTGAGATGCTGTAATTTATTTTGTGAGGACTCAAGCCACCAAATGTGTTTAACACATTTCACCTTACTATTGGGAATGGTTAAGAACACACAACCAGCTCTGATCGTCTGCAAGTAACCATTAAGGCATTATAATTGTCCTTCTTTGATCTAAGGCTCCTGTTCAAAATGTCAAGCAAAAAATTGTTGGAAACCACTACAGAAATGCTGATGTTCCTAAAAGAACTCCCTTAAAGGAACACCTGACTGCCCCTCTCATCTGTGTAAATCGCCAGCCTGGACACTGACGTGATACATCCTTGGCAGCTGCAGAAACTCACATTGGGTTCTCCATGTGGACTGAGCACCACAAAGCTTCCTCTGACATGTGCCCACAAAATGTCAAGGGCAGCTTGTCAACCACAGCGCATCCTGCTGTACCCCTGCATGGACACTGACAGCATCCAGCCCTCAATGAAACACTGCCAAAAGGCTGTCCCTTATAGGATAAATTTTCTTACAAGTCTAACATGAAATTCTGGTCTTGTTGTGTTCACTGGGAATTTTACAGTCAATCTGAAAGCAGACAAAATTTCATTGCCATTTTTTAAATGTCCCAGGCAGTGCATAGGCACTACACACTAAAATAAAAATTTTAAAAAAATTTAAAAAAGCTTTAGATTGAATATTGCTCAAAACTGGGCATCACTGGTAAGGGAACCAGACCTATGCCAGCATGGAGAGCTGTGGCACATCTGCATCCTGAGCACCATACACAACTGACTCTTCACATCTGACTTTAACAGCAGAGCAAGAGAAGGCACAGAGTAGCGTGACTAACAGCTACTACCTCTGAGAAAGCAGCTGCTTTATAGGGAGACATGAGAAAGGCAGGCACCCCTCAGTTTAAAGAGATGGCTGAGGGAGATATAGTGGATGCCTGCAAAACTGTAAAGGTAGCAGACAAAAATAATGCAGACCAAGAAAATCCTGCAATACTAGGCATCAGGAAGACATGGTGAAATTAGCAGATCGGCTTAAAACCAATGAAGGACAGCATTGCTTTGCACAGAGCACAGTGGACATCTAGAATTTGTTGGCACAAAGCTGTGGAGTCAGAGAGGACCAGCACATTCAGGAGGGGACTTGACAAATTCATAGACAAGTCCACAGACACCAAATGATAAAAGCACCCTCGCCAATATCCCTAGTGTAACAATTGTGGAATATTAGAGAAAAAAGTGGCAAACCCAGTCATCTGGCTTGCATTAAATTCCTGAATTGCATTTCCCTGTGGAAATTACAGACACATTACTTACTTAGATGGTCCACTGGTCTCCTCAACATTTAAGTTCTTAGACATATTGTTATAAAGGAACAGCAAAAACCCCACCAGGAAGTATGAGCAAATCTGGCCTGGCTATGCAGGTCAAGAGACTGCAGCTTTTCAAGTCAAGGCTGCTGTTTATGTTTGTAGAGAAAATTCAGTGGATCATTTCAGACTGATACATATAAGAGGCAAATAATCACAGGTATTAGATACACATTTATTTCAGAATTTCTGCTACAGTTTTGGTCTATTTCAGTGTAACTAACATGCAGAAACTGAAGCATGGCTTGCAAACCTTATCTTGATAAGCAACAACAATGTAGGACCTAACAATGCTAATCTCCCTAGATTACATCAATTTCCAGTTTGAAATTTTGAATTGTTCCAGTGTTGCTTTTCTGGCTTACCTTCACTGCACTGAAGCAGAAGGCATATAGGACAATCAGAACAACAAAGCTTCGGGAAATGCTGTACAATGCAGATACAAACCCAGCAGCAGCTGAAACAGAGACATGTGGTAAGTGGGAAGAAAGAGGAGCTTTGTTTCTGACCCAAACTAAGATGATAGTGTAGATGCATCTCAATCTTCCCTGCTACTTAAGCTATAATGAAAAACAAAAAAACAACCCACTACCAACAAAAAATCTTGATGCTTCATCTCTCAAGGGCCTTCTTTAATCTCTGACTGAAATAACACAAAGAAAATTATCATACATCAAATATCTTGTCAATCTGCCTTTCTGTGGAAGAATGCAAACTTTTTTTTCTTGATGTTAACAAAAAAAGGAAGTTAAAGGTTCTCTTTTTCAATAAATATAGTAAAAATTCACATCACACATGCCAGGAAAGAGCTCTTTGATATCAACCATAATCTGCAAACTAGTTTTGAAAAGTTGTATACAACTTTTCAGAAGCAAAAAGAAATCTAATCAAGTGGGCCTTATAAGAATTCACCCCACTGCTAGATTAATAGAATTAGCTGTTTGAGCTTTAACATGCACTGTGCTGTGTAACATGCAACAATATATTCTAATTTGAGGTTATAAACACAGAAGGGGACAGCTCAAGCTGCAGATGGCTACTTACCAGAACCACCAAAAAGCAACATATCTATTTGTTCCAAAAGATATATGCAGAAGGTATTGATTTGAGGGAAAAGTCCAAGAAGAGAAATTGCAGGAAAGCAATATAAAAACACTAAGAAGAAAAAAAAAAAGTATTTTAGAACACGGTCACACATCCAATGTACGGAAAATAAAGAAATATGCATGATAGCAGAATAAGAAATTGTTGCAATAAATTCTGAAGATTATTCAAGTAAACATACCTTAACCTTAGCAGCAATGATTACTCTTTCTTCCTCATGCATTCAAAACAAATAATGCTATTTTACACATAAGAAACTAAAGCTCAGAGGTAAACCTTAAGACTGATTTTGGATAAAAACAGTGGCAGAAAAATAACATTACATAGCCTCCTTACTAGGAGCTCCTTACATAGCTTCTCAAATACTTTCAAGATTATATTTGTTCTTTTCAAAGTAGAAAAATTTTAATTTACAGACTTTGGAATTTCTTCCTTGAATCTGAGATGGTTCAAGAACAGCTATAACAATTCAATATAAACAGAAAAAAAATTAATGACTGAAATATGAAATACCTTGTCTATCATAATATCCTGCCTCTCCCATCAATCAAAAGCAGACACTTACAGCAGTCTCCAAACATGGTAGAAAAGCTATGGTGAAGCTTCCCCAAAATATTCCGCCAGCAACTAGCAGAATGGACTTTAACTTCGCAGTAGTGAAAGAACATTAGAAACAGGAAAGAAACTCAGGGGTAAAACCCAGTCTTACAGCTTTACATATCCTCTTTCTGAATAGAAATGCTAATTTAAATACTCATTTTAATGGCTGCCTTATAGGCAAGGAAAAGCAGGAGTCATAATTCAAGTAATCATGCCCCTAGTCTTAAGTCCTCCAGCAGTTCACCTCCAGCAGTCTTCCTCCCCACTAATTCACTCTCAGCTCCACCACAGAAAATGCTAAGCAAGGCTTCTAGCAAAGCATCTAAATACACACCTGACCCTAGTGTAAACGTTCAAGAATACACACACATATTTAGTCATATTCTTACTGCTTCACTGTACTAGTACCACAATGTTCTGCACGGCAGAGAGAGGTGTGTGTCAGCCACTACTCCTTGTAAACAAGGATGTCTTTGTTACTTTAGATCCTAGGAAGACTCCAGTTTCCTCCTATTCATTCTCATAAAAAGCAAATTAAAAGTACAACTTATTCCCCATTCCCCCAGTCAGATTTTTGAGAAGGAAACAAAAGGATTTGTGTTCTTTGCTGAATGCTAATTTCACATCTTCCAGCTCATCTGACTAAGGCATCTTGCACTAAAAGGAAACAATACACCAAGTTTGATCTGACAACCACTTTTATCTTCACCGTATTATACGCTACTGCTACCTAATACTGTAAATCTTGCTGAGAAAGTCCAACACAGGAAAGAAAGTGACATGCTCAAGTGTTAAACACAGACAACACTCACTTAAGTATACTTGGATTCACAATGCACCTTCAACGCTGCTTCCCGCTACTGGCAAAAATTATCCTTACATAAGAAAACACAGAAATGTTCTCTTCTCAATTTTTTACATACAAATGCCAACATTAAATTCCTCTTCCTCTATTACTCTGCACATTTCTAGATATTCCACCAAGTCATGCCAAGCCAAGCAAGGACCACTTTTGAAGACAGCCAAAATGGCATGAAAGAAAACTGCTCAGCAGGCCATGTGGACCCACCATGGATTAACTATCCCAAAAATACACTGCTGAAATTCTCACAGGAGATATTGTTCCTTTGGCAAAGGATTTGCAGAACTGCCAGAACTCATCTTAGACTACTGACTTACAGCTGAAATGATTGCTTTTGCTGTAGCAACCTCAGAAAAAGTGGAATAAGAGCAGTGGAAGGATGAGATTAAAGAGTTGACAGTACACCAAGACATACAGAGACAAATGTAAACAAGGAGGGAAAAGTTAGCTGACTATAAAACTGTCCTCACCTCACCCCCTCCCTATTAATACCTTGAACAACCCTAGCAACTTCTTTAGCTAAGGCATCTTAGTTTATCTTATCCTGCACCAAGGAGCACACCGGAGAGGAAAATAAACAGTTGTCACCTACAAAAGGATTGAATTTAGAAGCAGCAGTTCCCCTTGTGGGAAGCAGTCAATAAAGGTGACTGATTAATCTTTGAAAGTGCATTATGAACTCTTTTTTAAGCATCACACATTTTCATACAGACCCACAACACCTTTAAAAGCTGGATCACTAAGAGATTGTTATGCAAACTGCTGCATTTAACACTGCAGTTTGCCTCTAAACAAGCACATATCACATAATCGTGATATGTGGGAAACATATGATATGAGAGGGAAACACAAATTATAACTTTGCAAAATTTGTGTCTTTTGAGAAATGCAGAATGGCAACATCACACGTTGCAAACATTTTAGACATTTAGAAAAAGATTATTTAAAAAAAATTATATCTGAGTAGTATAACATGTTTGGGGTTTTTTTTTCACAAGGAAAATAAAAAGCATTATTTCAGTGAGAAATAGTATTTTTGTTCTCCCACTCCTGAACATGGGAGAACTTAACATTCATAGGTTTTCTTCCCTTGACAGAAGCTCAGACACTGTTAAAAGGGGAAGGCAGAGGACTCAGTATCACAAAATTTTGCCACTTCCCAATTCTTAAGTCTTCTGAGATGTCTGGCAAATAATTTCATTACTTGTTGAATGTTTAAATGGTTTCATCACAAGAACTATCATATATAAAATGCATAACTATTTTTGTCACTAACCACACTTGTAGTTCCCAGTGAATGAGGTTGGTTGTCTGTGCCCTTACTTGCAATTCATTAATTCATTAATCCAGCAAAAATATTAACTGAAATAAGGAATTCAAGATGAAAATCACAGTCAGATCTAAAGTCATGAACCCCCAACTAATAGAAATATAAATCAATAGCAGAATCATCACCAATTTAAAATAAAACAGAATGAGACGACAAGTAGATTGAAAATAAATGAAGGTGTTAAAAAACATGTTTCATAAGTAATTAGGTTACACATCTAACAAATCTGCAATTATTTTCTTTTATGACCTTATTTCAAGAGTTTTATCAGAGTATGATATGCGGCATCACACTAGTTCTTTGGTATGTTCTATGATTTCTATGGCTTTTGCTTCTTTTGTTATAAACACCTGAAATAAAAGACTTTTCCTTTTTTTGGTATTTGCAATGCAAAGTCAAAAATCCCTTGATTTCCAAACATATCAATTGCAAATACCAAAATAAAGTCTGAATAAATTATGATTAAAATGTAAACTAAAAAGTCACCCTATTGTGACCAATTAAAAATACCTAGCAAACAGGCAAAATTGCAAAACGGTAGGAAGATTTTATTGGTATTCAGAGGCACCAACTTCCCTCATTATTTTATAGCCCAAACCAAATACTTCTACACCTCCACTACCTAAGAGAATTTACATTAAAAGTGCAGCAAGATGCCACAGGATGCCAGCCTGCCATGGCTTACAGAGGTCACTGCACTGTGAACAACTGCAAGGACTCACAGCAGCCACAAGTTAGGACTCCCATAGAGACAAAGCAAGGAATAGCCAAAGCACAGCACCAAACATCACTTGAACCAATACACCTTGGCAAAACAAGAGCAGGGGAAAAGCAAAGAGAAAGGGTTTCTCCTCTCTTTCCCGTTTAACACGTGCCAGCTGGCGAGATGAGCCTGTATTTCCTCTCTCCCCCACCCCCTCCTGCTTCAAGAACACGCTCTGCCATCTCTTTTGAGACCAGCCAAAATTAACACATTTATACCCACACTTTGTTTTCTTATGCTGGTTGCTATAGTTTTTCATTTATCTCTATCCCAAGTGTCATCTACAATTCTTGCTGAATTATTTATCAGCATTTTTACTGCTCACCTTTGACAGAAAGAGAAAATAAGATGTAAGGAGAAACTTAAATGAGACCAAAGGAAAGCAATGAAAAAAAGCTAATTAAAATAAGTGAGATGCAGCTCTTCATATTCCCCTGTTTCTGGTGAGAAGAACTGGGAGCCATAGTACCCACGTTAAGGACCAGGAGGATTTTCTAAAATTAGTATGCCTTTCAGGCAGTAAGACTGACCTGAGTATAGCAAAAAGCAAGTACAACAGTCACAGGTGAACAAAGACCTCAAAGGTTATGCACTATACCACAAAAACAGTTTTCTACTATTACAGTAGGTTCTCCTGGTTCTAAATTCACAAACCAACAGGCCATCTTTGGTACACTACAACACAGCTTTCCGGGAAATTTTCACAACTTTTAGAGTAAACCTCACATTTCCTACTTAGTACCTTAACAGTGTTGCATTATTCACGGGAGTCCAGTCCAGCACTCCTATCTGTGGCTCAGCTAGTGTAACATCACAGCTATAGACTGTGAGTGTGGTGTGCAACAGGAAGAAGTGTCCTGACAGCACAGGGTAATGTCAACTGTGGCCACTCCAAATTAGTGACAAGGGATCATCAGATCTGTCTTGAGGCAATGTCTGAATGTCCTCAGCAACCTCAGAACATGATTCTAGGAGGAAACAGGTTCAAAGAGCTACTGCAAAGTGGCTGCTCCACACTAACTGGTCACATGGACAGTATGATTAAACTAAATCAAGATAAAGCACTTTCTTCATGATCAGAAGATTGATGTTCATCTGAGGAACTGGCATGGATTAGCTTCCAGGCATTAAATTTAAAACTCAAGTTATTCTGCAGTAACTGCTCCACACAGACAAGCCGTTACAAAGATTAACTGCGTTTCACAGATGATGATTTTTGCTAATAACATCAGTGACTTTTAGTTTTCTATGGAGACATTTCTATGAGCCTCATTTCATTAACAATTCCTTTTGCATGAGGGAAGGTTGCCAGCTTCCCCTCGCCCCATCTTAAGTCATTCCAAATGTTTCTATCAATTTGACTTTGAGTTGTGCCTCCATAACTCGCGTTTGATTACCAGCATGGGAAAACACAGACTCACACTTAATTCCTTTTTGCAGTCCTTGGAAAAATATTGTCTCACCTATTACATGGTCTCTGGCTGACTGGAGAGATCTGGGTGAGAAGAGCTTCAGGCCGTACATTGTATAAACAGGAGGATTTGTGTCTTTAGATCCAGCATCTAGCAGCAAAATAAGGCCACACAATATACAAAAATATACAGGTCTGCTGTAGATTATGATTTTATTGTGTCCCTGGAAGAAAAAAACAAAAAGTTAGAATTTTAAAGTAAGAATTTTCATTCTTCTACTGCATGCACTGCATTAATCTGGAGAGAGGGTCATGGGTCAGACAAAATATTTTAATGACTTATACATAATAATTACTAATAAAAATGTTACAGGGTACTTTATCTTCTCCAGAGGAGATTTTCAAAAGGCACAATGAGCAGTTAAGACTGACTCCAGCAATCATTTACGCTTTTGAAAACCTACCCTTCTGGACCTTTCAAAACTTACTAATTCTAGGAGTCATCACCTTCTGTGGAGAAATAAACCTCAATCTGTATGAATTGTTCTTTTCAGTAGAAAAATAATTTTTCTCTATTTCTTTTATTTTAATGAACATCTGCTTCAGGTGGCTTGACTTTTTTTTTACTTTATGAAATATAAAATTAATTTAATTTTTAATTGAATCTTGGGAAGAAAAAATATAATAGAGCACATTCCCCAGTACAGTGTGAGGCATGGGGATGGATTTTGCTTCACCAATTTAATTTTTTTTGTTTCTTTGAACCACTCGACAACAAATCAGCATACCTTCTGAAGGGGGTGACACTCATCAGCAGTTTCTGATCTGCTTCTCATGAAGCACTTTTAAATGGTGATCCAAAGGAATTAGGATGTGGAAGGAATCTCACCTGACGTCTTTCATACACATCTCTCACACAATTGATTCCCACTAATCCTGTGGGAAGACTGTTGAGTGGCTGCAGGCCAGGGAAACTAACAGACACTTAAGAAGAGCCTTAATAGTTCTGGTAGCAAGCTTAAGGGTAACTAAGCCATTTTAAACATGGATGAGTCAAAAGACTCCTTGAATGTGAAAAGCCAGGAGCAAAGTGACAAGAATCCAAGCCTGCCTTCCATAAAGCTGCTGTGCAACTGCTCTAATTTGAGAAACGTAATTTAAGTGAGTATAATAAAAGATCATGTCTTTCTTTGAGTCTACTTACTGACTTGAAACTGTGGCTGTGTTTGTTTGGCTGCCAGCCAAGCTCGTATGTTAGATTGCTATTAACTGATCTGTACTCTCTTTTGGGATCAATCAGTTAACAAGGTGGCAGATTACAGGGAACTGGTGGGCTTACATCGTGCTTCACATCTATGGAATATGAATTAAGTCAGGGACACAAATGCTTGCTGTTTAATCAATTTCAATTTTACTACTGCTTTTTTTTTTCTTTTTTTTTTTTTTTCTAATGAGACACATGTCCACAAAATAATCTGTGGAGAATTATAAAGATAAAACTTTAAAAAAGAAAAATAATTTAAACTATTACTTTCTGGCCTTTTTTTAAACTTCAGTTCATTTACATAAAATATGAGCTGTGCCTTAGGAAAAGAAACCAATAAATATGCACTAAACAATTGCTTAATGTTTTATATATATTTATATATAAATATATTTATACATTAGATATATATTTATATATATTTATATATCCTAACATTCACTCCAGACCAAAGTCTGTTTTAATGTGATGTTACATTGTCTCACTTCTTGAACTATGGAAGCCAGTTTTATCTTTGCATGGTGATTATTTGAAGGCAGCTGGGTAAGACAGAGTTGATGACTACAAGCCCAGAGGTTTAAGTCCACACACCTTGCAGTTCCATGCAGAACACTGATATAATCAGGACTACAGTGCATATTTAACTCTTACTTCTAAAGTAGTTTATGGTGCTCTGGGTGAAGAACTGGCCGTAGGGCAGGCAGAGCTCAAAGGGCTGCAGTGAAAGGGGGCACATCTGGCTGGAGATTCATCAGCAGTGAAGTTCCTCAGGGCTCCGTTCTAGAGCCAGTTCTGCTCAACAGATTATCAATGATCTGCATGTAGGAACTGAATGGACCATTTAGCAAGACATCAACCCTGGCGGTGCTGTTGGCTCTGCTGAGGGTCAGGAGGCTTTGCAGAGAGAACTAGATAGACTGGAACATTGGGCAGTGATTAACAAGATGCACTAGGTCCTGCTCCTAGGATGGAGTAATGCTGGGCACAAGTGTAAATTGTGAGAGGTGTGGCTGATAAGCAGCCCTGCAGAAAGGGACCTGGGGGTGCTGCTTATCAGCAGGTTCGATGTGAGTCTGCTGTGAGTGCCAAGAGAGGAAAACTGCACCTGGGGTGCATCAAACACAGCAACATGAGCTGGTCAAAAGGTGATAATCCTGCTGTACTCAGCACTGGTGCAGCCCCACCTTGAGTGCTGTGTGTTTTGAGTGTCACAGTTTAAAAACTATGCGAAGGTCCCTGAAGGCATCTAGAGGAGAGCAACAAAGCTGGTGAAATGGTTGGAAGGAACATCCCATGAGGAGCAGTCAAGGACTTGAGGCTTGTGTAGTTTGGAGAGGACAAGGCAGAGAGGCAGCCTCATTGCTCCCTACAGGGTCCTGAGGAGGGGAAGTGGAGAAGGTGGTGCTGATCTCCTGTCCCATCCAGTGACAGGATGTGTGGGAATGGCTCTAAGTTGCACCAGGCAGGGGTATTTCTTTTGAAAAGGTGGTCAAACACAGGAACAGCCTTCCTAGAGAGGTGGTTGATGCCCCAGGCCTGTCAGTGCTGAGAAGAGGCATTTGGACAATGCTCGTAACAACTTGTTTTGACTTTTGGTCAGCCCTGAAGTGGTCAGGCAATGGCACTGGATGATCACTGTAGGCCACTTCAATCTTAGCTAAAATAGATTAATTCAATCACTTCACCATACTAACTACAGTAATGTCACTTATGATTGAGGAAGCAGATTCCAGAGGTTTTCTGAAAGCTGCAAAATGTGAATAAATACTTCCTTCCCTGTTTTTCAAGTGGTGGTGGATAATGAGACAGAATCTTGAAATCTTTCTAGAATCTTACCAACAGAAGCAAAGCCATGCACCAGAAGTGCATTCAGAAGAGTGGTGTTTGCCCAGCTCTTGCACTACTAGGGATGTGTTCAAGCTGAATGAGATTCCAAGAGCACAGCAAATACTCCAGTCCCCACATCTGGGAACATGCAACACAACACAAGAAAGAGGAACTGCTACAAATATTAGTGTGATATTTCACTGTCATTTACATGCTTCATGTGAGGGGCATTATTTGGGGCAGGACTGGTTTGAGGGCAACAGTGGACAACTTCCAGGAAAGAGAGGATCACTTCCCAAAAGTCACAGCCAGGGGATAGACATTACATTTAACTTTTTAAGGTTTTATAAACAAACTAATAGAACAATAGGAGCAAAGCCCTCCTGTACCTGCCTCTGACAGACAAAGCTAGGCAGCCCTTCACTCAAATGGGCATGTGGCAGCACAACCTGTATAATGAGGTATTTTAGATATTAAGGGCTCATTTTGTTTTACTAGGCAAGCTCACCAAATTTTGACATGCAAAACTGATTTAATCTTGGTGAAATGACTCTGCTCTGCATTCTTGTTTAGAAGAATTTAAACAGTGAAGCAGAATTCCTTTTACATTTTGTATCTCATTTGTTAAATAATCCTTTTTTTCCTTCACTGATTTCAGTGAAAAAAATTTCAGTGAAAGCTTTTCCTTTCCCTATCTGCTAAAAAAAGTCACTTTTTCTCATGTCCATGTTTCTCATTAATGCATTTCAGATAAATATTCACATCTTACCAACACAGCAGTGATGCATCTCACATTTCTATAAAAATATTAAAACTTTCAACAAAGAATAATTTCACAAACACTTCCATTTACTAAAACAGTAGTTTTGACTGCAAAGCATTTTGATGGGAAATTTTTTTTTTGTTTGTGGGTACACACATGTAAGAGGAGAAAGACAGAAGGCTTTTTTATGTAAAGAAATGCACCTCTGCTCAGTTCTACAGAAAAGCTTACAGAGACAAATTAAAAATACTTTGTAAGTGCCTTATGGGATTTAGAAAACTGCCTACAGTAGCTACAAAACTGAGTTAGCTATGTGCTTTGGCATGTAAGAGGACTGAGACAATAAATTTATGCAAGAGATTCTCCAAATCTTGTTAAGAGCACAACTGTACTCTTTCAAGCTCAAATGCCTTTGTAAGCCTAAGGTAGATCCTGAGCTATACAGGTATCTTATAAGGTACTTAGAGACATGAGATCCTTCTATAGAGCCATTTGCTAAATGTAAAACCTTACTTAAAACCTTAAACCTTATTCTAAAACCTTTGAATGCACATGACAAGGATGTCTTGGATCTCTGAATTTTAATACCCTGCAGTCACCAGTAGGTTGATTACATCAGTTCACTAACAGCAAAATATAACACACTTTGGAATCGACTTGATTTTCTTCTCTCCACCACTCCAGTGAGGAGGCTGTTACCAAATTTCACCATCCCAGAACCATGTACCCCTGTGTAAACAGCAGCTAAAGGTCACCAACTCCCAATGGACTAGAACTGGAAAGTCTAAAGCTTCAGCTGACAGGAAAATTAGACTCTCATAGCAGGCACCAGTACTAAACCTGCAGCAACAATAGATGCCAGCTCTTCCTCAACAGCAGCAAATGAATACATTGGCACTCAGGAGGAGTTTGGAACAGAAGCTTACAGCATCTCTAGGTACTGTGCTTTCTGAGATCACTGGATGCTGTTTTAAAGCACTCTTTCAAAATGCTGCAGGCTAGAGATGACAAAATCACTAAGTCTCACCAAACAGTTACAAATTCTGCAGGTGAGATAGGGAAGAAGTTTGGAACCTCTTTGGCAGCCGTGGATAACGCAAGACATTAGCAGCTACTCATGGATCCATGAATAGAACTTAATTCACTGTGCAGATCTGAGGCTCATGATGGTTTGTTTCACACTCAAAAAAATCTCATCTGCATTTTCATTCATGGGTGTGGTAGAGATCATTTTTTAATAACTCTGCTGTTCTGCATTCTTATATTAACATCAAGAGAAGTTATTCTCTTTAATTTTAATACAGGCACATGAATTATGAAACAGTACATGGAGTATCTCTTCTTAGCTTCTCATTGTCCTATTTCTGAGGTGCTTAGTAGCTCAAGCAAGCCTTTACAAATACCTATTGTGTTAAAAAGCTATAATGTAGAAATTGCTAATCTTCTATTTTAGCATGACAACAGTTCTTAAAACCTTTAAAACCCTTAGTGGAAAAATTTCCTAAATTTTATTTCTATTGGAGTTTGTATAGTGCATATAGTTGCAAGAGAGTATCCCTAATAAAGTTATAGGAAAGAAACAGAATATGGGAATACACCTATTGTTACTTTGTTCCACTGCTGCATGACTTACACAATACAATACAGCAAATAACACTTGTAACAGTACTGTGAGAACCTGAAATTCAGACCTGGACTCTGCACAAAAAATGTTCTCTTTAAACACTAACTTGTGTTTAATACTATAAAACAAAAAAATAGGCCAGATAGGTTCATAATGAAGTTATGGTTAAACTGTTTGCCACCCACTTTAAAGAAATGTACACATTACTAATGTCGGATTAAGTGCAAACTATTTGATTAGAGTTCACATTATTATATCTAGACAGATGCCAGTTGAGCTTACAAATTATATCATTTTACTTACAAGAACTCCCAGCTTTTCACTAAGGTTGAACTGTTACTTTAATGTATTGAAAATATTACCCTACATTGGGTAAGCCGCTGTTTATAACCTTTCTGTACCTTTTATGCAGACAGGTATCTCTTATGAATGCATTACAACCAAAACCACCATAACTTTGCCCCTTAATAATTGGCAAGGAAAAGAAACTGAGAATCTTCTGAAATCTATCTAGTGAAGTGTGCAGCATACATACATAAATAACATCAATTTCAAGTTCAGCCTGTATTTCTAGCCTCTAAACTGACAAAAATAATTGCTCCCTGCCAAAGAGAACGGATCCAGCAGACCTAAAGTTATCAATGTGTCATTTTTGAAACCTGAGGGAAGAGCGGGTAACCTCAAAAATATTCAAAGAGCTAAATAAGAAACATAAGCAACTAGCACCTAGTGTAAAAGAAAGGAAAAGGCATTATGGCCACTGAAATGTCTTCCAAGACTCACAAATCACAAATGCTGAGACACCATGATAGGTGGAGTGGTAAGGTTGAAGTTGTATGGCGATGCCCCTAGAAGAGTCCTATAACAAGGACAAACTTGTGTAAAGAACTGGTTCTCTCAAAGGTGGCTGGCACCATCAGAGTTCAATTTCTTAGATATATACAACTGAAAAAAAAAATAGCAATCAGCAAGGATCCTTACATCCTGCATTCACTCAAAGATTTGGCCTTTTCTTCAGGATACAAGCACAGAAACTGTGACCATATTGTAACAAAGGGAAAACACCTGTGCTGCATGATGAGCTTATAATACTTTTAATACATAAATCTTCAGTAGCAGATTTTAAAAAATAAAACATCAATCCCAATCTCAAAGAAAAAAAAAAAAAAAGAAAAAATCCCAACTGAACAACGACTGAGCTGCTAGTCTGGAACTTCTGCTCCTTTCTGTCTATTTCTAAAGGAGAGCAAAGAAAAGGTTTGTATGATGTCACAGGATCAAACATCACCAAGATAGTCCAGATGAATTTTTTACTGCTCATATTAACTTAAAGAAAAAGCACTTTTCTAATAGCAGTGATAAATTCAAATAGCTTTAAAATATTAAATCTAATACAAAGTCTTGAAATCACAGATGTCTTTTCCATAAATCAGATAGAAGAGCAAATGACTAAAGCCTGTCTCTCCTTGAACAGCCAGCTGTTTCACAGCACACAAGTGATAATAGAGGAGACAGACTTGTTTTACTGACTGAGACTTACATGTATTGGTGAAGCAGGATCAGGCTGAACACTCTAAAAACAAAACAGAAAAAAAGAGGTTTGCTTACAGGATTTTTCCTTTGTAGAAGTTAGAAGAGAATTCAGCAATTGGCTACGAACTTGAGTCCTACCTTGAGGAGAGAATACTGGCAGCTGGCCATTACGAGACAGAACAACAGAACCCAAATGTCTTTACAGAAGCCTTGGTTCAGAGTCAGGAATCCAAGAAGTGAAACAAGAACTACTAGAAGGACAGCAAACACGTTTTCCTTTATATCTTCTGTCCTATGTGAATAAAAGTGTTGGAGAAGTACAAATATTTATAGATTCATTAGAGCAAGGAAGATCCACTTGTACTGGTATGAACCATCAGTGCTGCAGCTATCAGAATTCATTGGACCCCATGGCTACATTTCCATGTTCAACAGTATTTCATCCCCATGCCATAAAACTTATCCAAAAAGATAGCTAAAATGTACAGGAAAAAAAGCCATATACACTGCAGTCTAACATCCCTTCCCACCTCCAATTCCCAATTAGAATTCCACAATGGAGATGATCTAAATGCAGAAAAGTGTATACTTATAAAAGCAAAAATAAACACAAAAAAAGCATAAAAAAACTCAACACATGAACAGCTACAAATAAAATCAAACATCCAAACACTTTTAAACGAGGAAATAAGGCATTCCATTAATGAAAAATATACATCTGACAACGAAGAACTGGATGAAAGACCAAATTTGTCATCTGATGTTTTATTTGTTTTATCTGTTCTGTTAGAACGTGGAAGCTGAGATAAAAAACAGCGTTAATATTCAGGATGTAACAAAAGAGCTTATTAGCAGAAAAGATTTCCATGCAATTGAAACACAGAGATAAGACAGATAAGTAAATATCTGCTCTGGACTTAAAGCTCCCTGACATGTAGCTTGATTTCTGCATCAGGTAAAATTGCCATCTGAAACTTCTGCTGTGGAGCCCATGTTAACCTATATGGCACAACACCCCCAACCAAGAAGCAGAGACAAACTTGAACTGGAACAGAGGCAGCAGCTCAAAAATCTTCACCTGAATACCATTCTATAAATCATTTTCTTTTTTTAAAGATTGGTGTACTTGGTTTACAATACCCTGGGACCCTTCTACTTCTGATTTTCTCCTCAGAAATCATTGGATCTATAACATCTGTGAGTCAAATTACAGACTACTCTACAAGCCTGGTACTCACATGAATCAAAGTCTCTACCTGAAGACAAAGGGTAGCAAGAAACACTGAAACCAACCCTGAACTTCAGCTTAAAGCAAAACCACATCTATCTATTCAACCTGAATTCCCTTTCTCTAGTGGTCAGCATAGCTTTACGGACATGTGAAGCCATCCACTAAAACACTACATAGAGCAGCTCTAAAAAAAATATCTTACCTGTCCAACAATGCCAACAAGGTAAGACGATCATACCAGACTTTAATCCACTTGCCAGGGAATATAACAAATCTGTAAAACTGCCTGTTCAGCTTCCGTTGTGCTGAAGAACATGAAGAATCCTCAGGGTCCTGGCTGGGCTGCTACAAAAACAAACCAGAAATGCACAAAACTCTCTCACACTCTTACACAGCTGCCAGCAAAACAGGTGTTGAAAAGGCCAAATTTACATGAAGTGTCAGATATTGTTTTGGTTTTTTTGGGTTTTTTTTTACTAAAAGGGCTAGTGGGAGCATATTAGCATATTTATTTTCTTAATTTTAAACTAGAAACAAAAATATCACACCAGCTTAATTGTTACAGATGAGCAGAAGCTATATTAATCATGGAGTTCAATAGTGACAATACACTTTAAAAAGTAATACTAAACATTCATTTAAAAAGTAATTTTTTAGTCCAGATCCAGTACCTGTCTAAAGTCTCTCTTTGAAGATTTTTCCATGTATCAAGTTAATCAGAGCACAGCACAAAAACATGACAGGACAAATCCTTCTTTTTAAATAAAAAATAAATAAATAAATAAATAGGCCTTAAGGCCTAGAGGTGTGACTTATCAAGTTTTCTTCCAGAACACTGCTTTGTTTATCTTTCCTGAGATGCTTTTAATACCACATCAGGTGTGCCTCCTCAAGAGCAGCAAGAGGAGGAAAAAAAATTGCAAACAAGCACAAATAGTATAAACAGCACTAATTTAAGAGTCTCTAATCTTAACATCATAATCATAAATCCACCCTTTTAAGTACTGCTTTTGCCAGATTCTAAGGCTTTTTTCAGCTCTTCTCTACAGCTCTCCTCCAACTATCTGCAGACCATCAGCCAAGCCTGCAAAGCTAGACAACAGATTAAAAAAATCTCTGCAAAGCAGTGCTTTCTTTCCAAGGTATACCATTACTGATGTGATGGATGGGAGAAAATCACTTATTTTTCTTTCAAGAAGAAGAATTTGAGATTTCAAATCACTGTAAAGTCCAGTGGTTTTCAACCCCCTCCTAGGCTGCCTTTTCCCCGCCCCTCCTTAAAGATAATTAATCAACAAATATACCTATTATGGAACTCTAGGCAATGTCTACATTAGACTTATTTATTTTAGATTAATTTTCCTAGTCAGGGAAGGAGATTTCTGCATGAAGTAATTGATCATCAAATTATAACTGTTAGCAAAGCACAGTTTTTTAAACAACCTGTCCAACTCCACAAAGGAATTGTTTTGGGTTTTTTTCTCAGAATATTGGAATAATTTCTAATCTTTGCTTTCCAGGAAAAAAAATTTTACACAGAGGTTACACATGACAATGTATTACTGCTCATCAGATGGAAAACAACTCGTTGATATCCTCAGTCTGCTGGCAAATATGAGGTGAAGCAGGCTAGCATAAGCTCTGGAGAAAGAAATTCAAGTTTAGGCATTTTATCTCGTGCCTCCAATTGACTAAAAGTGTACAGCCATGCAGGGCCAGGGAGCTCAACTGCTAGTAGTGCAGGAAAATCCCTCATATTTCTGAGCATTGAGACATGCAAGGGGATGTTGGGATATTTGGCATTCTTTCCTTTATTAATAATTTTGAGCAATTTAAAAGCCAATGAGATCAACTGCAATCTTTTCACTGTGCTGACTTTAAAATCTGAAAGTAGTTTATGCAGTCCAAATTTTAGTATTTTTGTTACTACTTTAAAAAGCAACTTAAACATGGGGTTGGGACATTTTTAAAGCAAAAAAAACATGTATTAAGATATTACAGTTGCTAATACTGGCACAGTTTTGTTTCTCTTGGGTCTTATTACCCAACAGAAAGTAAAGTGAAACTCAGTCCACTGCAGTCATTAACTTCACACATCTAATGTAGATTGCTCACCATAACTAGATAAAAAAATCAAAACAGTGGCAGAAAGTTCACTAAAAACACCCGAGGATCTGATCACTGGCTCCCCAGAAGAGCCTAACACGCCTTTAGCTGAGTGCATAAGTGAACATTCTGGCTCCTGAGGAGCTGTAACCTTTGGATGAAATCCTCTGTGTGAGTCTTGCGAGTGTAGTGCTTGAGTGGGAATCAGAATTTTGAGCTGGATTTGGGAAACTCTCTGACTAGCCCTGAGCAAGTAACTCGAGTCTAACTGTTTATCCTACCCAAAAGGGGCTTATAAAAATTCACTTTATAAATTTATACGGTGTCAGTGACAGCCTGAAGCCCTAGCTTCATTGAAATCAATGACAATGCTTTTCCTGATTTATGTAGGCTCAAGTATTTCATGTTTAAGAAAAAAAAATTCAGAAACCAGGACATTCTGAAATTACTGCCTGGTCTGGCTACAAATTTGCTATGTGATCTTGAGGAGCAGTCTTCCTAAAAGAGAAAGAAGAAATTACAGTTGTTTTCTAATTCACAGGCAGTTTACAAGACTATAAATATCTGGAAAACATCTGACCCTTTAGATGGAAGACACTGTCCAAATATGAGAGACACTATTTGGGACAATTTACTGATTTTTAGTTTAAAATAGTTCCTTTATAGAAGCTGCTTCTAGCTTAACGTTCCTGTGTGAAATCTAAGATGAAGGCAATTAACTGTCATTTTACTGTTATTCATAAATACCAAACTAGAATTTGCCATGGTAGGGGGAAAGTCAAAGTTATTATAAAAGGAATTGTAAAAAAAAATCATAGCCCTAAGTCACGTACCCCAAACACTGTAAAGTTCATGTCCACATAAGACCATGCAAATTGAAGTCTGAGGGCCTTTTTCTTTTACTAACTGCATTGAGGAGGTGACTTCAACATTCCACAGCAAACATTCAGAGGTCTGGTTGCCCAATTCAGAAAAGTGAAACCAGACATGAGGTTTTATGACAGCAATGAATCTGGAATAAACACTTCATACTATTAAAATCTGGTGGTGTGTCTAAAATCCTAACAGCTGTGTCCTCCTCCAAATGAAATATGATTGAAGATAGAAGATGAGCTTTTTTGGTGATTGTGTCTTTAAGTACTTCCCTAGGACACTACTCAGTGTCACAGCTGAGTTGCATCCATCAACATAAAACTTATCTTCTCCCACATGAGCAATACCAGGAAAAGCAGTATAGCAAAATCAACAAAATTGTCTCAGGGACAAGCCTGCAGCATTTGTTTATCGAGCAGTTCACCAAGATGCTAGAAAGTCATGTTGTACCCGTGGGTTTTCTGAAAGGGTCCTTCTGGCCACCATCAGTAGGAGCTGCTGCTGAAGCGCGCTGGCTGCTTGATCCCCAGAAGATGGTTCTTGGCTCTCTGAAGTGGTAGTACTGGAGGAGCTGAACTGTATTTCACTGTGCACAGAGGACAGGAAAGACAGAGATTGTTTTAAGCACTAATCTTTTCCTAACAATTCTGAAACATTACAGAAGAAAGCCTGTAATTACACTACTGGTTGGCTCGTAAGACTTGGGAACCTTCCACCCTCATATCTGAAATCTAGCGCAGATCCACAGAACACCCAAATTCAGATATACTTGATTTACTACATCTACCACAGAGAAACAGATACTTCTGTATCACAGCTTTTCTCATTCTGAGATGAACACCCTCAAGGAATCACACTTCAGAAGTGCCTTTTCCTGTCCATTGACAATTTAAGTTTAGAGATGCACATCTACAGAGCAAAACTGCAAAACAGATACTGCAGAGATCCCAGAATAGCTTCCAATGAGCTCACTTAGGTACCAAGCTAGTCTGAGCTCACCTGCACTGAATTTGGTGAGTACTGATTTACCCTGCTGAGAATTCAGGCTACAAGAACTTCCTTCTGCCCTAGCAAGATAATAATACGTGAGCTAATTCACATAAGGCTAGTTCAGATATCCCCCGTACTGAGTGTAAACTCATCCTGGGAGGGCCCTGATAAAAATCATATTTATTGTTTTTCCTCACATTTACTGTTTTTTGTTGTAGGTACAGTACTTGAACACTTGCACAAATCTGCATTTAGAGCAGCGGTGCTTGTTGGGTTGCAGAAATGGTGTTACGATGACATGACTGACAGGGTTTTAGAGACAACTTTATTGAAATGAAACAATTGTTACTTGGGGAAGAGATCTGTTTTGAATACTTCTTTCTAATTCTTTTCCAAATGGGATTTATACATCAGGTGCTCTGCTCCAAACTCATTGCCCCAATACCACTGAATACCTCCCTTGGGCTCTTAATACTTATATCTATATGAGGTGGAAGCACCTAAGTGTTCATGCAAGGTAGTCAATATTTGTTATTCTTATTTTGCATAAAGACAAGCAGGAAGAAACTTGAGCAATCTGCCTGAAGTCAGCTAGGAAGCTGATGGCAGTGCAAAGATTAAAACCCTCCTCTTGCATACCCAACATTTGCCCCAAAGTCATCTTATTAATTTTAGTTAACTCTCCTTGCTATTGCCCAAAGTCATCTTATTAATTTTAGTTAACTCTCCTTGCTATTGGTGACCAATTCCCAAAGGCTGCTATGTAACTCTTGTTATTGTTAAAGCTTTAAAATTATGGCTGTCCTGCAAATAACTGGCTGCTAACTCACCTGCAGTGGTTAGCATTGTTCTGGAACATAGTTCAGTGTCTGGACTACTTAAAAGAAGGGCTGAAGTGCCACACCAACAGCTTGAAATGCACACACTCTCTCCTCCCCTCCAGGATTTACTAGTTCTGCCTGGACCAAGAGGAACACAATCAGCCTTGGGATGTCAGCAGAGGAGCCATCCTACCTTTGGTTTCTGAGACAGGTAGTTTACGTTTTCAAAGCCTAGATTGTTATCAGGCTTGAATTCCAGAACTGATATTCACCATCTGCCACTCCAGCAGAACTCTCTGCTGAGCAGAAATGAGAGCACCCCATGCTCCTGACCCTAATGGCTTCCTCTGCACTCCACATTCCTCCTACTACAGACAGCAGCATGATCCACTCCAGACTCAGGAAAACTGTCATGCTCCCTTTGGATAGTACTAGCAAATGAGAACATGGTCCAACACAACCCACTTGATGTCCCAGCCACAAGGCAGCCCTCTGTAATAACCATCTCCTTTGTCAGCAGTTATTAACAAAACAGTACAGAAGGGATGGGCACTCATCCAAGATCCTGGATCACAAACAGAAGATTTAAGCAGGAAGAAAGCAGAGGAAGCCTTGAGGAATGTCTCCCAGGAGTGAGATTCCCACAGATACGGACTACAGAGCAACCTTGTCCAGTCAGAAGGAAGGCAAGGGATTTTTTGTTTGTTTCCTCAGGATGAGCTGTCCTGTCCCTTGTCAGTGTGGGTGCAACCCTCAGCCTCCCTGTTCACAGCAGGAAAAAGGCAAATTAAGCCCAGGCTTTGCAGGAACACTAGCCTGAGAATTCCTGCCCAAAAGGTGACTCAACAAAAGAGCAGGGAAATAAAACAGTGGTTGCTCACGCATTCCTAAACAAAGAGTCAATCTTCACTGAATTTCTGCATCTTTATCTCTCTGTCTACAAAACCCAAAAGTATTTTGAGATCGAACCACATCTTTAATCCCACATTCACCAAAAATGGAAATGGCAGAAGGACAGATGGGTGGAACAGAATACAAGGGGAGTCTATCAGTTCTCAGAAATCAAAAATCTTATACTAATAAGACCTATTCCAAGAAAAAACTGAGGACATCAAATCATCTCCCACCAGACTTGAAGTAAACCAAAAAGCCAAGAGCGCCCGTGGTCTGTTTTGTGTTTACATTAACAATCCATTGCTCCGCCCATCAGCAAGTGGCAGAGGAGACCACAAGCAGCCAGGACACTAACTGTGGGGAAGAGTCAGAAACTCTATAAGCCTGCAAAAGCAATTAAAGCAGATAAATTGGAAAGGCAGAGCTAGCAAAGCAACAATTCCAAAATCAGAATGTCATCTGGCAGTCATCAGCCTCATTTCTCTATGTCTTCTTATTCTCTCCTCATCTTCCTATTCCCTCCTCATCTTCCATTTCCTTCAGCTCCTGTTTGCTGTTTTTGTCTTCCTTATCCCTATTTTCCACACAACCTCCTTCTGACATTCACCCCCAAAGATGAGTTGCTTGTACAGCTACTTAGAAACTGTACATCTCATCTGATGACATTGCTATCACACTGACAGCAAACACCAGTAAGAAATGCAATGATGGTGTTTGTGTTTTTGTAAGCCTATAAACTAGATTCTATAAATTTATTACCATATATAAATAGGAGCAAACACTCTCTAATCATAAAATCATTATAATGGAGCTGATCGCAGTATAACACAGAATCTTGCTAAACACAAAATCTGTTCATTTGCAGAATCAAATTAATATTATCAAGATCTATCACAGTAAACTGCACTGCTAATGTAAGCAAAGGTATAATTGAACTAAATTTTGAATAATGAATTATTAACTAAAAATATCTTTGATAAACATATAACCCACGCAGACCAAATTCAAAAGCAACATAGCACCCTCTACTGATTCCTGGGTATAAAACCAGGAATTTTTTTCTGGCTCATAATTCCATTTTATAAGAACACTCAGTAAGCATAAGGTAGTAGAGCTATCATATAACACACAGAATGTTTCATTATAACCACACAGTGCTGGAAAAATCTTCCTTCTCCCTCTCTGTTTAGCCTGTTACCTTATATCCCAACAACTTGGCCTGAGCCATTCAAACATAACCCAGACTAAGTTGTCCCCTTTGTTAGGATTAGCTAGCCATGGACCCCTCTCAAGGTAAGTTCATTATACAGGCACACCACAAAAAATTCCCTGTTAATAAAGCTGTTTTGCAGGTCTTGATTAAATTTCACTTTAACCTGCATACTGGAGAAAGGACAGGTCCTCACATGCTTAAAACCAGAAAGATCCCACTGGATTGTCTAAGACGGCTGTCTGGGTCACAACAGAGTTTACAGTGTGTAATAAATATCCACAGAAATAATAAATAATATAGCTGAAAGCTATGTCTAATGCTCCCTAAAATACTGCCCTTAGGTGATGGTAAGCAGCTATGGCTGTGAAGAGCCAGAAGGCAGCTCAGAGTTAGAGATGTCTCCTCCTGCACATCCAACAAGCAGTCGCTTCTGGGGTACTGGTATGAGATGCATCCAAAAGTACTGAACTGAGACCTCTGCAACGTCCTTGTGCAAGACCCAGCTAGTGCAGACAACACAGCAGGAACTCAAGATACCCAGACATCAAAAATCTTTTACTAGTAAGTGTTGTGCTCTTTCAAAACAGTGCATTTGTGGCTTAAATGTAGCTGCCTGAACTGATGTTGCTCATTTGGTCTCCACTAGAAAGCTGCCAGCACAAATCTGGCCAGAGTACTGCACAGTTCAAGACTGATAGTAAAGCTATAAAATTGATTCTTTTAAGAAAATGATAGCTTATAGTTCCGAAATAACAAGACTTACACCAAAAAGCAACTCAGAGCATGTAAGAAGACTGAAATATGCCAGTGATCGCTGCCTTAGCAGTGGATAATTATGTGACAAATCCAATACAAGAAACAGAAAAAACTTAAAGAGAAAGCACTCTTCACTTTTTTGGTAAGATGTTAGCAGTGTCATAAAGTGTAAAATTAAGTCAGAATGTGTATCTTAACTTTCTTCAGTGCAATCTGATGCTATCAGATGTAAAACAGATGAAATCTCTCTTAAATCTCGTTCATATTTTGCTAGTTGAACAAATGTGTATTTATACACATTTTACTACAGGATTTGGGAACAATTTCTGGCATTTGTTTTAATTAGCAAAAATAACACCCCTAACAACAATAAAGCAGAATATCTGAGTTTACACAATGGGAAAGCTGGATATAGTGATATTCTGACATAATAGGATAAATAGGAAAGATACCAGATGACTGTTGCAATAGACTGCAAAACAAGCAGTGGCACATATTAAGTTAGCTACTGCAGACAGACAGAAAGGCCTTGTAAAGTATGTCCCTAAAGGCACTGTGGTCAATATGAAGGCAGAAAGTGATGAATGCCTTCCTACTCAAATGTAAAGAATGGGGTCCATTCAGTACACTCGTATTTACAAGTATTCAGATACTTTTATTTTGCTAATAAGCATGTAAACTGATAATTTGCAAGCTTATTACATTTCAAAGCAAAGATAAATGTACTAAAAACTTTAAAAACAAACAGTATGTGTTAGCTAATAAACTAGAGGATGCATTTTGAGAAGATGCAGCTTCATAGGAATTAGTGCATTAATAACTTCCACAGTTGTGCTATCTCCAAAATACTTAAAAACATTCCTTTTAGCTCTCCTTATGGAAGGGCAGGGGATGGAAGAGAAGCCAGTCCCA